AAAAAAAAAAAACCACAAATTCTTGCGCAAAAGCAATTTGCCGTTCATTTATTGCATGGACAATTGCGTCGATGTCCCTCATGTGGCTTTTCTGGACTCCCTATTTTATGCGAGTTATATATTTATACACATATATATCAGAGCCAGAAAAAGAAATCCGTCCAGTATTCGCTTTTTGACAGTGTCGGTCTGTTAAAATGCATGAATGACTGAAGAAAAATTTATCGTTTTTTTTTCCTTATACAGGTTTATCGGTCTTTTAAAAAAAAGCGCCTGCATTGAGAATTCTTTCCCGGAAACGGCTGTGAAGTCTCATTAAGTAAAATATTATCGCCTAGGACGCAAAACTGCGAATCACCCATGCCTTCCTTCTGGACTGAAAACCCTCTAGTACTTTAGACAGCAAACCATTATATGTATATATATATATATGTCTTGTAAGAATGCTCAAAAATTACATATTGTAGTGCACAGTTAAGTTTGCAGTCTGTGTTTCATCCCTTAGCTGTAAACACAGACAGAGCATCTGATGCGAATAGAAGTGGGAATCATCAGTACAGCCTCCAAGACTTTGAATTTCACAATTCTAACTAGAATCTCAACTCCGGTGGCTATAGCTACCACTAACTTAAACTTCTTGAGTAACATGTACTGTAATGCGGTAAAACTGTGCCAGAGCTAGGCCTTTGGCAAGAATGACATTGTTCAGCATCTGTTTTCACAAGAATAGGTAGAAAGTGAAGTAAAGCGAAGCGACGATACTGTAAGCCAATGGCAGTATAACACGCGCTGCTAAATCGACCCGTGCTGCTATTACCGAGTAATAATCAGACCATCGATGGAAATAGTCATTGATTATGGTGTCATAGTTTGACGTGGAAGTTGAACCAAGCAAATCCTGAAAAAAAAAGACTCTGAAAGTAGTGTAAAAGAAAAGAAGCTATAAAAGAAAAAAAAAAGTCACACCAACTAGCTGTTCAGCGTGACATTCCTTCACTGCCTCTTTGCTCCTTTCTTTTTCTATTATCTTTGTTTCTTCTTTAAGCATTGCAACCGTCATACTGACGTGATCCTGCTGCAGTGTTAAGTTGAGGCGTACATGATTTAATGGACCGAAACGCCTTATTTCATTCTTGCCTCCTAATCTTATCTTTATTTGCAATCTTCCAGTTTTTTACCAGTTGGGCATCCAAGACTGATCTGGTTGCCGCAGTCTATTTACTAGCAGTTTCAGGATTGCTGAACGCATTACAGACAGTCGTCCACTGTTTTGGCTCAGAAAGTAAGGCATGTGTTATTTTTTGAGGTTTTATTTGCTAGCTAAGTGAAAGAACGATTTGATAAATTGCCAAGACCAAAAGCAGCTGTCCATTCCATGGGTGAAAATTTTTTGTTATCATTGGACTGAGAGAGACCTCAGCCTCCTCGCAGTCTAATTCCTGATGCTGTCTGCAAGGCAGGTTTTTCTAAAAAAGTAATAATTCTACCTTGGCTCTTGGAGAAGGTCAAAAAATCCAAAAGGAATGATATATTTTTGCAATTAGTCACAATCTTCGCACTGACGAGTTCCAGTTATGATACTGTTTTGGAATGTATGCGACTTAATGGACCGAAACATTCTAATTCAGTTATCTCTAATTTTAACTTTCTACTTCCGTTTCACTCCTTCCGCTGTAGATAGTTATATCATTTGTCATGTTTTTTACTACTGCCTTATTGTTGCTTACAAATTACCACAAACTATTCTAATGATTTGAGAACTGACTTCCACTGCCCAACCCACTACTGCAATTTTAGTCAGTCGATTGTACCACCTCACCTGCACAGCCGCATGCTAACCCTACAAACTGGTAATTTGCAAGAGCAGCAATTGATCGACCACCTGCCAACCTAATATTCGTTCCCTAACTTTCGTTTTTCGATAAAAAATGCTAGCTGCATTGCACTGCTTTTCCATATGTGCAGCATTTTTCAAGCACTGACCAATGACACTTATTCCATATAATCTTTGGTATTATACTATTTTACTAGTTTTACTTGGTCGTTTTTACTATGAGTCGCAGTATCAGTATTACAAATGATGATTATGTAATCCTATTCATAATTCCATTCTGTGCAGAAAAAGTTTGGGAATTGATTAATTGTTATGGGCGGGGGAGGGAGGGGAGGGAGGGGGGAGGCTGCCAGGAAAATTGAATTGCTCAATTCAGCAGTTCCCGGTGTTGCGCTACGGTTTTTCAAACACGTGGCTTTTTGTAGTTTCTCTTTCGGCGCAATGGTTCAGGATCTACGAAAAATGCATAATAAAATGAACCTGCTCGAAATGTTTCATTTCAAAGATTCGTCCGTTTGCAGTGGGCGGCCTGGGGCTCGTGGAGCGGCCTCGTCTTGCCGCTTGCTTTTCATGCCGGTAGCGGCTCTCCGCTCGAACTGTTTCATCCTTGTTTGCGAGCAGCAGCTGTTTCTGGGACATTTTCATCAGTACATGCACTATCAGTGCCTGCAATTTTCTCAGTCAGTAAGTGGAATTACTTTTGGTCAGACAGATCGTTCACTGCGTGGGCATTTTTGTTTGGCCTGACGTAAATCTGCCTGCGCCTCGCTCCTCGTTGAACATTTTATCATATCTGCTTTGTGGTTCGAATTTCGAATGTTCTCCATTTCGTCGTTTTTTTTTCGAAGAGTATTGCTTACTAATACGCAACGGCTATCAGTTAACGGCCCGACGAACAGCGCGTCTCACCTAGCAGATTTTGCTTTCTTTTCTCGTAACAGCTACGTTTCATTTGTAGAGTACTTTTTTGGGTAGCTTAGCTTACATGTTTTTTTTTTAAAGTTAAAACTCAAGACCTTCATATTCAATATCAAGGAGAGATAGAGCCACCTGGAAGTACTCTAAACGCATCATTTTGATAGCAAGACTATTGATGGCTCCCTGTTTCAAGAATTGCTCAGGAGCAAGCTGGTTGCAATTTTGACTTCCTGGCATGTGCCAGTACCAATTTACTGGCGTATGCCAGAGAGTCAAAACTGGGAATTACAGCTTAGGAATGAAACACGGACAGGCCACCAAATCACAGCAAACACACGCCTGCCAATCTGCGAAACCTAAATGTTACTTCTGGAAGTCTTCTTTAAATTGTCAAAATTCGACTATTGGTTTCTCTTCTCTGCAAGTCGTGCTATGCTAAATCAACTGCATTTGTTAAAATACTGATGATTTGAAGTTCTCTTTCCTTTTTACTGATGATTTGAAATTCTTCTGGTCGCGGATTTTTACAATTTATATCCCCATAATTTTCGCATCATTTACTACTGAGACGAATGAACAAACTGCGGAGGTACTGTTTTCTCACTGGCGAAATCGCATCCACCGCTCAAAGCGAACTAAAACGGAGGGGTTTTTAATGCATATAAAATTGATCGCATTCGCTGAATGCGAGCATCCGTGATAGTTTACCGGAAAGATACACATGGCGTGCTGGCGCTACTATTTTTTTTGCGCAATCAAAAACAATTTGTCAAGTAACTGTGGTAAAAATAACTTTTTTTTTTAACTGGATGGAATAATTAGCATACTTCCAAGAGCGACAGCAGGATGAATACGTTGCACAAGAAAATCCAGATATCTGCAGCCGTTAAATAAGCTGTTGATGGAATTTCATTATTCGAGAATATTGCCTAAATGGTTTATAGTAAGTATGTGATGAATTCAATTTTAGCGCATATTATTAGCCAGAAGTGAAGAATTAAGCATTCTCCTACGTTTGCTATTCCCATAGGCTTTCTCTATACCAACCAAACAGTAGGAACTTCACTGAATGCTCTTTTTTCGCCCTTTTTTTCCAGTAATTTTAACTCCTATCAACTGACTTTAAAGGCTTTTATCCAAGGAATCAGCGACCATGTAAAGCAGAAAAGTACCAACTGCAGATGTGCTTCATCGTATATTGTGGTTGTGGTTCATTTGCGCGCGGCCCTTCAGAATAGGTTAGTTGCTTGGAAAGTAAGCACGAACTTACGGCGGACTAGCTAGGCGTGCTAGGAGCTATTGATAACCCCGTTAAAAAAAATGTCAAGCAAAAGAGCATCCTCGGTCAGGCTGTCAACTGGACAAAGGAATCCGCTTAAAAACTACTTAATCTTCTTTGTTTTATTTCTAACTTGTTTAAAGTTCACACTGTAATGAGCAATTACGCACAAATACAACGTCGAAAGGCCTGGCATAGCTGCACCTGGCGTGTGTGGGAGCATCTCAGTAACATCACTAACTGGCTGACAACTCAAGGGGGTTTAGCATTCTGGACACTTTCTGATTACGGTGCTGAAAAGGAATGTATTCAGCTTGAGTGTCCGAAACATTACTCTTCAGAAACTCTTCTTCTTTTAATTTTACTTATTTCGATTTGCTCTGTCTTGGCAATTCTTTCTTATCCCGTCATCTGTAGATTTTGACTACTATCGCACTATTTTAACTTTTTCCTAATTATAACTTAATTTAATTTGTATTCTTATCAGCTTAATTTGTATTCTTAACTTAATTTGTATTCTTATCCGCTGATTCCAATGTCTTTTAGTCTGAATTTTCGTTTGCTTAACTAATTTTGTTGCTTTTTTCGGTACAAATCCTGTTTTAACAGCTGAAGCCGCTTTCATATAAATCCGGGTTTCACCGTGGACGCTTCCAGATAAATTCGCTTTCTAGTGCCAGCTCTTTTCCTTCTGAATGCGGAAGTCCAGGAAGGGAGGAGGGTTAGCTAGGTAAGAAACTTATGTCTGAAATGTTCAGCTGAAAAATTCGATCAATCAGTCTTGGCAGCAGTGCATCTCAGAACTTCTCGAGAATGTTGTAAATTAGGCCAAAAAGAATGAAAAAATAGAGAAATGTACACAAAAGAATGTGAGCATGGATGAGAATGCAGCAACTGTTATCCGTGATTGCAATCGCTGTCGTTCAATGTAAAAGGTAATCCAAGTAAGCGCCACCAGAACAATGGTTGGCAAGAAATAACGAAAGAATGATACATGGAATGGCCGGTGAAACTGTAATCGAGCTCGGAGACATGAAAATCGCGCTGAAATGTGACAACAGCTTAAGCATCAAATTATTAAATTGTCTTACAGGGATCCGGATCTCTGTCTCTCTCCCAGGATTTATATAATGAACAGGCAGTGTTTGCTCTGCTAAGCCCTAGAGCTCTGTAAACTCCTTTTTTTTACCCAAATTTTAGCATTTGTTGAGCCTAAAAGAAAATTTTAGCATTGAAATGAAACAATTTGGATTTCGGCACAGGACTTTCTTCCTTTATGCAAGTGGCATTTAATTCTGTTATATCCATCCAGAGCTGTCCGAATTAGACGCTGAGCAAATGTTTAGCAAGTTAAGTTTCAACCAGATTTAGGCTAAGTGTCTGTCCGGTTCGTGGTGGACAATGACCAGTTGTTTGCTACATATCCACCAGCAAATATTGCAAGTTACTGGTCATTTTTATAATTATTGCTCCAATCCTTCTACGTTGCGAACACACTCTTCTAGTCAATCCGAAGTTTTAAAAAAATTAACCTGAAGCAGCATTCAGTTCAGTGACAGCGTAAAGCTCTTCAAAATTGCAATTTTCACTGGCTGCTAACGAAGTATACATGCTAGCGGGTCCAGCACTTGTATTCAGTCGTGCACCGTCCGCATAGTACCAAGAAAGTGATAAATGCTTACTGGGGTGCCTAGCTGAAAGTAATGCTGTTCCCAGAACAGTCAGATTATCCGATTTTTACAACGGTACAAGAAACAAATGACTTCGGGACCCGAAAGTTGCTGTGACAGTCGAGCAAAGATCCGAAGAGGATGTGTTGTTTAATTTTACATTTTTTCTTAGAAACAGAATTTTTTGTATGGATATTAGGAATGAGAAAAACACCTGCGTAAACGTCGATGGGACAATGGTGTGAGTCAAACGGGTATTGTCTCAGATCGAATACACAGTGCACCTCCACTTCGTAACTGAAATCAATAATCCTAGTTTATTACTGAAAAAAAAAAAGCCCGAAAAATTCCCATATCCAGTAAAAAAGACAGCTTATGATTACGAGCTAACAAAACCAAACGTATTGGCGGTCTGTTATGTCGCATGGCGGGCTTAGCATGGTACCCATTTTTCATCTTGATGATTCTGTGGATCGCGTGCTACGTCAGCTTCACGTTTGCTATGTCTTTGAGCGTCTACGCTAGAACCTATGTAAGTGAGGGTCGCAGGTCAGGTCGCACTGGACTTCGAAGTTTGATTTCGACTTCAGATCTGCCTTCCAAACCTTTTCATGACGAGATCTAATTTCCACGTAACTGTTATTCCCGAGTTCTAGCGCACAGTGTGCTTATAGCCCTTCACCTTCCTTTTCCCAGTTACTTTACGCAGAAACCGACGTAAAAATCATCATTCGGACAATTTTCGACCACACAGACCTGCTTTTGTGCTTTTCTCGATGAATGATGCGTATTTTATCTCATTACGGTCGTGCGGCTTCTTCGTAAAACGTTAGTGTTACTAGACATTCTTTTTCTGTTATTTATTTTCTCACCCTCGCGCCACATAAAAACTGTTGTAAATTTCTTTTATAAGAATCTTCTCCCACCATTTATCCTTTTAAAACATCGCCTACTTGTTATTCCTCCTCCTAGTATTATTCTAAAAATCATTCATTCTTATTAATTTAGCCGAACAAGAATTTATTGCTCAAGCTGGGAGAACGTTTTCCAAGTTCACTCAGTTTGTTGAGCTATAACAATCTACAGAACTTCTGGGATTTCAAGTTTTTTTTTTTTTTTTTCAACACAAATGGCTTGCTTTTAAAAAAAAATTGTTAATATAAAAGCACCTGGAACGAGTGGAAGTAGTTCCGTCGGAGGCGGAAGTAATAAGTCGATAAGCTTCTTTCGGTCTCACTTTACTTCCAGAGAACTGCAAATCACTGAATGGGTACTGATACTGGTCATATTTGACAATGACTGAACCGGGCGGCCTTCTTGATTTCTCCATAACCATAAGCAGAGAAATTGATGCTTTAAAATTCTGTAAATGCGACAGATTAATCGACCTGTTCACTTTTTGGTCTGAACATTTGACTTCGGAACTGTGAAAAGATGCACTTTGTCCATCTAGAAATTTGCTTGTAACCGTCTTTTCGTTCTTTCATTCGCTCTCAACATTCGACGCCCATACAATGCCAACTCAAAATAAAATAAAGTTTGTAAAAATTATACGAGAAATTTTATACATAAATATAACTCACCGACTGTTTGAGGTTGAAATCACTGATTGACTGAATTGTCAAGCCAATTTGCAAATTTGTTTTCTCTGCAAACGAGCTTTTTCATAATGTTAGATATTTCACAGGGCAGCTGCTAAATTTGATAGACTTGGATAAAGCTTTCGCGTGAATGGACTGGAAAATGCCGTTGTAAAAGCTTTTAATAATGCCGTCGAATTATGTATTTTCCTAATTTTCTGTAACAATTGTGCTTATGCTGTTCACTGATGATCGCTCACCGTATTTGTGATATCTAGCCGTTTCTAGTCACATCATGCGGCACATCTACAGGGCTACCAGCCTCCGACTACTACCCATTACAGCAGCTGTGCACCCAGCTTTCCTCGATATTGACCGACCAAGTTACTTTTTTTTCTTTCT